CAGTTGTGGGATGAATCCCACCAAGTTTCTGTAAGCCCTATTCCTCTGGATAAACTGTTAATTGGCCAAACAGAATGAAATGCCCAACAGACAAGTCAGGGTTTAAACATCAAATTGGTGCAGAGCAGAGAAGCATTTGTGCTTTTCTTTTAGAACTGTAGTTCTCAAACATTTCAGATTCAGGAAACTTATCCATACTTTTTTTTTTTTCTAATTCAGTAGCACCCACATTGAGAACCACTAAAGCATGCAGGAACACCTGCTCTTGCTGCACACTTCTCTAGTCCAGTGCTGCCCCCTGCCCCACACACACTGGAAACAGAGGTGTGCAGGACAGCTCCACCTACCCCACATACCTCTACTTCCAGGCAGTGTCATGGAGTGTTAGACCAGGTAGGGCTGTGACAGGACCAGGGGTTCCTACCTGCTTTATCAGGCAGGAACAGTCTCTCATGCTACAGTCCCTCCCAATCTAGCTGCACTCAAGGCTTGCAGGTTAGTTCCATCTGGCTGCTGTCATACCAGCAACACACCACAGCACACCTTGGGTTCTCCTGGCACTCCAGTTGAAAACCCTTGTCTGCAGGGTTCAAATTACACTTTGACTTGGGGGCGGGCCTGCAAAAAAAATTAAACCAGTTCATTTGAAGGAACAATTTGATTGGAACACCGCCCTCCCTACCCCATTATGATTTTCAAATCTTACAGGGGGGCTCTCGTCTCCAAGCTCCCCCATAATTCATACCCTGCCTGTCTGAGAGACAGAAACTCAGCTCATCTCTTGGGGTCTTCTATGGTAGCTGCGCCTTGGTTTTAAAGATGAAGTAATGATTTCTTAATTTAGGGTTTGCTGATCTGCATAAGGTGCTGTTTTATCAAAAGGTCTTCACCATCTGAAGAGCAGGAATCTGTTAGAACCAGCAGCCTCTTATCTCCTGCAGCAGAAACTAACCAACTAAGACTGAACTTCAATAGCCCATATAATAACCCCTCCCTCTGACCAGCCCAACTACAATTCTCTTTTCTTTCAAATGCATGAGAAGACACTGAAGTTTTGCAGTATGCTGTGGAAATCAATAACTTGAGACAACTTTGGACCAGTGGGTGAAAGTGAATTCCAAAGTGAAGGGCCTTAAAGGAAATGCCCTGCCATCTGCCCCCTTTCTTTTAAGCTGACGGGATCCAGTGCTGCTGCTAGCCTCAATAGTCATACGACAAAGGAGAGAACCAGTTTCTTAAGCAGAGAATTTCCAGGGTGTAAAGGATGGGGTTTTTTGTCTGTAAATTTCCTTTGGAAGCTATCATTTAGCAAATGACAGAAAACATGGTGCACTAAAGCTATGATATGGTGAAAAATAGGTTACTATAGTCTATATCAGGGCTCAGCAAGCAAATCCATTATGCCCCTAGCTGCAAAACCTGGTCGATCCCTGGTCTATATGTTTTCAAGATGAACAGACTGAAAATGGACAGAGCAGAGTGCAGTAACCTGCATCAGGTGACAAAGGAAAAGAAAAAGGTGAAAAGTTTATACTTACAATCAAAAGAAAGTTGCAACTTATATATGATGTGGCAACAAGAAATCAATTAAAGTTTCTTTTAAATTAGTACTAGTGTTTATGATACAAAAATGGAAGAAGAGGATAAAGATAAAAATCTTCAAGACTCCGCCTGGATCATGGACAAAATAAGCTAACCTCAGTTTTATGAATAATATCTGGTCAGTTTTCTTAAGAGTAAAATATTGGAATGTCAAGCAACTACAAGAATCAATGCTCAGAAATAACTGAACTAGATTATTATTATTAGCTAAATAAAAGGGAAAGTGTCAATGTCTTTATGTAAACATTAAAGCACAGATAAAAGTATTACAATTTGCATTTACAAATACAAGACTTACTTTTAGGTTTGGGGGTACTTTGTCTGTCTGGAAACTTAATTAAAGGTGTATGTGGCTTTACCACCTAGAACAAGACACAGAAGTAGCAGATAGCAGGGAAATTAATATAAATCCAAATAAATACATTTTACATGCATAAATTTTCACCCCAATGCACAAACAATTATTGCTGCAGTTGCTTGGTATACTTTCACTGGCAAAAATCAGCTATTTTTTAAAAATAAGCTGTTTATTTTTTTCTCCAAACTTCTGCTTCTAGACTCCAAAGCTGAGGTAATCAGTTCTCAAAAAACAATCATTGCTGCAATTAATGCTGCCCCCCCACAAATTTCCAAGCACCGCAGGCCAGATGACACAGTTCTCCATGCAGGGAACCAGGGCTGGGGCAGAGGGACCTGATCCAACAAGTGTGGAGGTGTAGTTGGGGCAGAGGCAGAAGCCACAAAAGTGGGCCCAGTCTGGCTCAGGGCCAGGGCCAAGCCTGTGATATGGCACGTGGGACCAGGGCCTGATCCATCACATACCAAACTGGGCCTGTGAAACTATCCTGCACCACTCAGCTGGCCTGCAGGGCCTTTCATTGTGCACCACTAGCCTAAACTATGGTGGGTTTGTCTGGCAAACAGAAAATTGAGAGAGCAAGTTCGATGCGTTATTCTGAAGGCAGGGTACAGATCGACCTCTACAGACTAACTAAATGCAACTGCCACCCCTAGGTTGCCAGGTGCTAAGCAGAGAGGGATGCTTACCACTTCAAGCCCTGGAAAACCAGACCCAGAGAGCTGGGTTGAACTACAGTCCCAGACGGCTTTGAGGGCTACCAGAAGGGGAACGGGGGAAAAGAGGAGTTGTAAGGCCAGAGCCATTTTGCCTGGAGCCACGGGGAGGGAGCAGAGGAGAGACCTTGCTCCCTGATATGCTCCAGGAACCATTGAAGGAGGCCCTGGGAGATGGTGGAGGAGCCTGGTTTGAGTGCAGTTAGGGAAGGATCAGCCTTCCCACTGACAAAAATCCAAGCACTACCACAGAGCCAGGCCCAGGGCAGTCCCCTGAATGGCATCAGCACGACTGAGGGGCAGCGAGCATCCGTGTGCCACATGGGACAGCTGGGGCTGGGCAAGCGTCCCACCCTGAGGGGTCCTTGCCAGACTGCCAGAGTTGCCCTTTTAAGCTGGACTCCTGCAAGGTGTCGTTTGGGGAGGTGGTTTTCTGGATGCCACAGGGCGTAAAGAAATCAAACTCCTATGCACCCTCCTGTTAGACAGAGACATCCTGGGGAAACGCAGCCCCAACAGCCCGGCGAGGGCCGCACTTGGGCCGGGGAAAGCGAGCTGATCGGGCCCCAACTTGGCTTCAGGAGACGCTGCCAAGGCGGCGCCGGAACCACCCGAACCGCTGCTCCCGTCCGCGCCCGGCGGCCGCCTCCCCCAAAGGACTAAGCGGCCGTCCTGCGCGGCCGGCGGAGCCAAGGCCCGTCAGACGCGCGCGCAACCCCCTGCTGCACTCGGAGCCGGGCGGGAGCTCCGGGCGGCGCCGATGCGCCTCACCTGCCGCAAGGCTCGGCCCTCGGTCACGGTCACGGTCACGGTCTCCCCGGCCCGCCAGAAGCGCTGCTGGGCTAAGAGCGCCCGCCCCGCCCCGCTCCCACTGCACTGCACTGCACCGCCCCGCTCCGCCCTGCACATCCCGTCCCGGCCCGCGCCCGCTACCTGGACGACCCGGCTAGCGGCCGCCATCTTGCTGCCCATAATGACCCCCGCACCGCGACCTCCACGGGCCAGCTAACAGACCTGAGGTGGGGTGGGGCTACAGCTGGCTCCGCCCCCCGAAGGGCGGGGCCAGGCTATTAAGCCCAGGGGCCCGGCTGTGCTTGAGAAGTCTCGGCCGGGCGGGGCCAGAGCTGAGGCCGCCCCCAAAGGCGTGGAGCCGAGCCATGACGCAAGCAGGGCGGGGCCTGAGAGGAAAGGAGGGTGGGGCTACAGGCTGAGTACCCCCCCAAAGAGGCGGGGCTAGAGCCGGAGCCGGGATATTGGGGGCGGGGCCCGCGCCTGGAGTGACGGGAGCGGAGGCGGGGCGTGGGGGGGGGGTCACGTACTATTCACGTGACCCCGTGGGGCGGGGGCACTTGGCGGGGGTGTACCCGCACCTCTTCCTCCCTCCCCCCGAGGAGTTTGGGGAGCTGCGGACCTGGTCGGAGACCCCGCACTGCCGCATGGGGGCCGTGCTCGTTGATCCTGCCCAGCCCCGGCCCGTCCGCCCCGCACGCGGTGCCAGGGCCGCCGGCCGGAGCGGATGCGGTCTGCGTGGGGCCTGGCTGGGCCCTGCGGG